TGTAATATCTCACCAGAAGAAACTTATTTTGAGATTAAGAATGAAGATTCAAAGTTCAGAGAATCAATGAAGAAAGGTGTGTGTGTGTGTGTGTGTGTGTGTGTGTGTGTGTGTGTGTGTGTGCTGTACTTGCAGCATCTGTGAAATTTAATAATAATTAATGACGTTGGCTACTATAAGTTTTCAGACAATCTAAAGAAAGTTCTATCTTCCTCATAGACTATACATAAATTTGTATCTGTGCCAGTTAAAGGTTTTTTAGGATTATTGGGGACTTTCCTAAACCAACATTAATAAGCTCTGATATAGTCATAGATTTTATAACTACTATAAAATCGGTTTTTTAAATATCACATAAGAATTAAAAGACTGGTAGAAGTCTTGAGTTTGTCCCTAAATTTCTATGCAATTCTAAGTAAGTTGCATAAGCAGGCTAGGATTAATTTTCACTCCATATGTTGAAATTCTTATCAACACTTAAGGTTTATTCAGTCTGTTAAAAAAAAGTCAAGGTGGAGGAAATACATGTTTGTAAAGTATCTTGAAATGTTGACGTGTATTGGAGCTGGCAGGCTGATGAGTGCCATTTCCAGTCCCCCATAGAGCATCAATTTCCTTTTTCCTGCAGCCTGAAGATTATCCTGTAACATTGGTTTATGGTGCTTTCTGTCAAACTGCTAGTAAATCCTCTTTATAATTAAAAAAAAAAAAAGTCAAGTTCCAAATGCAAAGAAAAGGTGACAATCTGAGGGAAACTTAAACTTAAACCCATGACTCAAAAGTTTCGTCAGGCCCCTGAAATATCTGTTTCTATCATCTCTGCTCTCTATATACCGAAATCCTCCCCAACCCTCAGCATCCCATGAGACCTTTGCTACCTAGTACTTCAAACTTCTTACATCTAAAGAAAAGTAGTTGCCACAAAAGAACCCCAAGTAGTTAGTTGCAAGATCCTAAAACATGAACATGTATGATTAAAAGGAAAAGCTCATCTGTCACAGACAGTAGTTCAGAGTTAAGATCCTTTAGTCCATGGTGAGACTAAAGATGCTAGCTAGAGATGCAACCTTTATTTGCAAAGCAAGCAGAGCGCCAAGCTCAAAGAGAACCACCCTCCCGAGTCTTTGTGTTCTTACTGTCCTTCCCATTCACTTCACTATCTGAATGTTAATGCAGAGAAATAAAAAATGTGCACAGAAGATCCAATACCTTTAGTGAATTTTGATTTCTGTTTTCAATTTCTCAGGGGGAAAAAAAACTTATTAAACAAAATGCAGAGTCACGTAGTTCAAGCTACCGACTGTTCATAAAGCAAAATGCTTGATATGCAGAAATTTTAAGTGAGAAGAGATGTCAGGTCTCCAAAAGCCACTATTATCAAACAAAGCAGCCAGAAAATTAATGCACTTGAGATGACTGTGACCATAATCTTGGCTATCAGCCAGCATTCTTCATTTCTCTTGGTAGGAGCATGCTTCAACACTCCTTATTTTACACACAAAGCCCATCTTCATGCCTCAGTTCTTTGACAAAAAAAAAAAATTCTTCCCTTCTTTCCAGAGTACTGCTTTAACTTTCTGACTAGCATTTTACAAACATTTGCTGACCACGGTATTTGAGGAAGAAACACTACAAACAAATGGTGTGCAGCAATAATCAGGATGGCTTTGTTACTAACGAAGAGAAATGGGCCATTTAAAGACCAGTGAGCTTGATTGTCCCACATCCAAATCAAGGTGTCCTTTCCAAGCACAAAAACAACCCTGCCTATGACCTCCTACCACACCTTCCTGAGTCGGTGCTTTTTCTCAGACATTTTAAAGAGAGAATCTTCGTGTTCATGTGAGTGGTCCCATCACCCCTTCCTTCTAGAGCTGCAGAAATAAGAACATCCCACAGAGGATGGCTAGTCTGTGTGTCTTATCAGTCCAAGACACAGTAACAAATTCCAAATGATTGAGGGGTTGGGTGCTTTAGGCTGCCCTGCATTCTGGTTCACTGAAAATGGCCGCTCATTACAAATTACCAGGTAATAAGTAATAGGGCAAAAGGCTTTGAAGGTGGAACCTTCCTTGTATTAATCAAGAAAATGAACACCCAAGAGTTTAACAACAAAATAATGTACCTTTTTGGACAGTTGATATTCTGTTTCTATGCATAGTGACTAATAGTAATGGCTATAATCCATCACATTAGAAAAGTAATCAGCAGTGCTTAGCTGTACCAAATTAAAATTGATTGAGACCTCACATGACCCTGGCAAAAGCTAATAATTACATCATTCTTACGTGGTCAATAGTAAGCAGCCAAAACACTATTTTGGTTTATAATCTCTGTTATATAAAGGCTAGCATAGAAAAATTAAACAAAATAGATCAAAACAAAATAATGTTGATATCTTTTTTCTGAGTAATTACACCAGGAAAATTGTTGCCACCTGCTTTTCATTTGTTATCCCATCTCCTTTTGGCCATGCACCATCCTGGTGCTCTGCATAGTTGATCCATTTTATTCTCATTCCATTCACGAAGGCATGTTGGCACCAGCCTCATATTATAGAAGAACTGAGCATCACCCCAGGAGCCCAGAGCCATAGCCAAGACTCAAATCTAAGTCCATCGGAAACGGATGTCCAGTGTATCCATTCTATCAGTAAGCAGGGAGTCTGTATAATGAGAATGGATGAGTACAAGAAGCATCTCTCACATATATGAGTTTAAATATTGGCAGACAAAGAAAGCTCTCTTAAAAATCATAGGCTATCGTTTATGGTTAGTTTTCTGAAATTTAGTGAGGGATCAGAAGGTCTCAGAGTAGGGTTCCCCTACAGCCACAACTCTTGGCTCAGAGGATGTCCTCAACAGTATGACAGGGACACATGGGTGGCAAAGTATCCCTGATGCCATTTATGTTCATCTTCCAAAAACAAAACAACAACCAAAAAAAAAAAAAAAAAAAAAAAAAAACACTGGGGGATGACCTTGCATAGACAAGTGACAAGACAAATATCATCCATCATTAGAGCCTGTGGATTTATGGGCAAATGGCACTCAGAAAGAATCTTACTGGGCTAGAAAACTAGTTCAGGAGGCAAAGTGCCTTGCCAGGCAAGCCTAAGGGCCCAAGTTTTGATCCTAAGTACTCAAGCAAAAATCTGGGCATGGCAACAAGAGGGAGAGATGGGATGGAGAAGCAAAATGCTCACTGGACATCCAGACTATCATGATAGAGACAGATCAGGGGGTTCACTGGCTATCCAGTCTGGAGGAAATGGCAAGCTCTGGCTTCAGTGAGAGACCCTGCCTCAAAACATAAGGTGGAGAAGTGCCTGAGGAAGATGCCAGCCTTAGGTTCCCATGTGGGCCCAGATGGTGGGAAACTGAAAATACAGGAAAGTGTAGGAAGGAAACAGCGTCTCTGTCTATCCTTCGGTGAAAGAAGCAAACTTAAACTGAGTTGTGCAGTTGTTTCTTCTCCTTTCCCATCCTCCTGACTCTGCCTTTGTGGCAGAGAAAATAACATAGTAAGAAGTGAACCATGATTGCTTTGGCTTAACCAGCCTCCTTCAAATCACCTGAGCTCCAAACAGGAACAAAACTTCCCATCAAGGTCAAGTTAACTTCACTTAGTAGGGTCCAATCACCATAAGGGGAAATTAGCATGATCAGAGCCAACTGTGGTATTTCCTCACAGCTGCTCTGCCTGAGCGTGTACCTGAAGGACCGTCACAGATGCCCCAAATCTGAGCATGGAGCAACATACGGGCTGTAAGCTCATATTCCCATGTTGCTAGGTCTTACATTTGACAACAAAAGTCTGCAACTGCCTTGTGTTTTGGTAATTTATCCTATCAGGTATTCTGCTATGAAAATGTATGACTTTTATGGAACAATGGGAAGTCTGAACATAAATTCTATGTTTCATGATGTGAAGGAAACACTAAATTTTTCTTTATCCAGTATGTGATCATAGATTTCTCTGAAAGTGTGTCACTTTTAGATCTACATAATAAGATGTATGCATGTTTAATCACGTGATAACTAAGGCTTACTTCAAAACAAGGAGGAACATCTCAAGTGAGGACCTGGATGACATAACATTCGTTTTGAGCTCACAATTATAAAAGCTATGAGGCTTCCCCAGGACAACATTTGCCTTTGTTCTTTTTGAACTTTGCAGATGTTAAAAATTTTGCAAGATAAAAGCTTTTTAAAGTTAACCCAAATTAATTTGGATTACCTGAAATTAATGTCAGAAAGAGTTTTTCAAAAGCAGTTTTAAAATCGGTTTAACTTTAAAACTGTTCCTATTGGCTCATTCACTCAAGAGTCCAAAGCAAGAGGACCTATATGAGTTTGAAGCTAGCCTGGGCTAGTGTAAGACCCTGTCTCAGCAAGCAAAAGCAATTCAGTTTTAGAATGAATATTAAATGGGAAAGGGAGATCTAATGCAAAGTACTGTGCAAATAAAAGAAATATAACCTACTCTCTTGGTGATGAGAATAAATGCTATTTTTGTCTCTTAATTGTTACATTTTTATATTTTGAATTTGCTAAAAAGAAACTATATTAGGCTTGTAACTACAAAGTAAAACAAGCTGATAATACAATGTGAAATGGAAAGTTAACAAAATTGTAGATAAAGGAGAAATTTGTTCTGTCTCCCAGTACATGAGTGCATGCGTGCATAATGTGTGTAATATGTGCTTAAAACAAACAACATTAAATTGTCCATGGAAGTTTGTCTGATTATCTCTGGATGATGTGTTAGTAGTCATTTTTATTCACTTCATTTTGCCTCTGTGTATGTTTTCTCCATTTAATAAGCAAAATGTAATAAAAAATCTAGAGTGAGAATCATCCCAACTCTCCTTGCAGTAATATACTAAACTTTAAAGTCAGTTGCTATAATTTCCTTGACCAGCCAGCATTATGTGGTAATGCTCTCACCTTCATAGACTCAATTCCTTGATCACGTGTCTCCCTCTGCTTCCCTTCCAGGTATATCCATGCCGATCCCAGTCTTTGGATTGCAGGATGACTCGAAGGTCTTTAAGGAGGGGAGCTGCCTGCTCGCCGATGACAACTTTGTCCTCATAGGTTCTTTTGTGTCATTTTTCATCCCCTTAACCATCATGGTAATCACCTACTTCCTCACTATCAAGTCACTTCAGAAAGAAGCCACCTTGTGTGTGAGTGACCTCAGCACTCGGGCCAAATTAGCCTCCTTCAGCTTCCTCCCTCAGAGTTCTCTGTCGTCGGAAAAGCTCTTCCAGCGGTCCATCCACAGGGAGTCAGGCTCCTACACGGGCAGGAGGACGATGCAGTCCATCAGTAATGAGCAAAAAGCGTGCAAGGTGCTGGGCATCGTGTTCTTTCTGTTTGTCGTAATGTGGTGTCCATTCTTCATCACCAACATCATGGCCGTCATCTGCAAAGAGTCCTGCAATGAAGATGTCATTGGAGCCCTACTCAATGTGTTTGTCTGGATTGGTTACCTCTCCTCAGCTGTCAATCCACTGGTCTATACACTATTCAACAAGACTTACAGGTCTGCCTTCTCCCGGTACATTCAGTGTCAGTACAAGGAAAACAGGAAGCCACTGCAGTTAATTCTAGTGAACACTATACCGGCATTGGCCTACAAGTCTAGTCAGCTGCAGGTGGGACAAAATAAGACCTCAACAGAAGATGCTGAGCCAACAGGTAATGACTGTTCTATGGTTACACTAGGAAAAGAACACTCAGAAGAGACTTGTACAGACAATGTCAACACCGTGAACGAAAAGGTTAGCTGTGTGTGAGGGATTGGTTGCTGTGACAACCTCACTTGGCCAAGGTTTTAGCCCTTGTGTGTGGGGGCAGGGATAAAGAGGCTGGGACAAATCAGGCTACTCCAGTGACTCAACAGTATCTATATGCCTCATTGCACTCTGTATGAAGAGCAGTGTGTCACAGAATGTGCACTTGGGCAATGTCCTAACAGCATTTAAGCTGAGTGTTATGGTCTTGTCCTTGTCCTTTTAACTTTGTCAGTGAGATCTTTCAGATCATTGTACTTTATTGTACAATTATAATGATACATGAAATCAATCTAGTTCACTTCTATTATTCAAATAGAAACCTGCTGCCATGATGTTGATGGGTGGCACGGGAGTGAGTTGGTGACCTATTATTGTATATAAAAATAGCTAGAAATACTGAAAATAATAAATAGGCTCTTTTAAAAAAAGCATTTAAAAGTCACCATGACACATATTTTGAAAATAAAAGAATAATATTCTGAAATTTGTATTGCTAATATAATTAATTGAAATACTTGACAATATTTTTCATTCTTGCCTTTTCATAGACGCCATTTTGACATGTTCACAAGATCGCTGGCATTTGCTGCATTTGTCATTTAATTCTCAGATGTGGAAGGGTTTTAAATGTTATTCAATAACACGCTGCTTTCTCTTCTACTACTTGGGCTTTACCTGAATTTGCAATGTGGTCTTGTTTCGTATATTTTCCTCTCTGTAAACTATCAAAGGAAAATTTTGCTTTTTGAAATACAGTTCTAGAACTCGCTTCAAAGAAACAGCATCCTGGAGGTATTTGGTCACTCACTACAGGACCACTGCACTGCGCATGCACCCTTTGAGCTGTGACCAGTACATTGATTTGACTGACACAGCTAAACAATAAACTCAGGTTTCTCGCTGTTAGCAGTAGTTTCTTAGACTATTTATGTTAAAAAAAAAAAAAAAGTCATGTGACTTTCCTATTGACACTTAATCAGGTAAACTGACGTTTTCAAAGGGCTGGGGATGTAGCTCCATGTGTAAGAGTGTTTGTCTAGCATGCAGAATCCCCAGCACTGGGAGCATTGGGGAAGCACTAACTTGGATCCCCAGGGCACCGTGATGCATGCCTGTAATCCTAGCCCTTGGGAGATGCAGGTCAGAGAATCAGGAATTCAGTCATTCTCAGCTACTTATTGAGTCAGTGTGGACTGCATGAAATCCTGTCTCCAAAAAGAAAATAAATAAATATAGGCTTTTCTAAAAATTGATACTTTCAGATCAATGTGTTTATATTATTTATTAAAATGGGTTAGATTGGTTCCACAGTGATCTATGTACTGTATCTTGTGAGTGGAGCAGTTCCTTAGTTATTAAGGGTATAAAAATTAATTTGTAAGAGCTTTACATTTAAAAATGACAACTTAATTGATCATTGTCAACAAGTATGAACAGATTTATTCTGAGAATCAATCAGTTCGATTTCTTTCTTACCCGACTCAGAGTTTGTATTTACTCTTGAAAAAAATTTTTTTTCCAGTTTTTCTCATTTGCCAAGCAGGCAAGAAAATGGGAAAATATCAATTAAATCAAGGATTTCAGCTTATATATATAGAAATAAGCACCTCATGACTATCAAGGTTTAAAGCAATATTTTTTCCTACCCTGTAAAACTACATTCATTTTACTCTGACAGACACTAGCTCCCAATTAAAAAGCAAGTATCAGTTACCATAATGTTTGGTAGAAACTACAGACTAACAGGTCAACCACTGTTAGTCCATTTGACACTGTGATGCACAAGAGTGAATTGCACATTACTGTTGGAACAGATGATAGATACGGGGGAAAATGCTGGAAGATTTTTATTGACTATAAAGGTGTTTTGCTGTAAGCCTTTGGGAAATGTTCCAGGTTTGGCATTAAAGAATGTAGAAAGCTTCATTATGTAAGTTGGAAATGCACTAATGTTTTCCCAGGTTTGCCTTTACAGGCACTTTGAATGGTGATCGTTGCTTCAGACATAGAATTTTAGTATGTCCCTAGGACTTAGGTTGTATTTGAAAGGAGCTAGTCTTCAATTATTAGACCATAATGATTGATAAAAACAGAAGTGTTAGGAGGTCTACTGTAATGTGTGTTGCCTTAGTTTAACACTGTACACATGTCAATATGCATTAGAAAAAGATTATTAATTTTAATCCATGAACTTAATTCATCAAGATGAACATAAATACTGCCTGGCAGATGTCTTTTGACTACAGATATATAACCAGTGTGTATGTGGTTTTTCTCTCTGTAAGTATCCATTGGAGTGTATATAAGAAAACGTGTACCTGTATATATGTACAGACATGTTCCCATGCACTTTATTCAATATTTATATATTTATATGGAAGAAGAGCAAGTTGGTGAAAACACACACATGTGCATGTTTGAATCATGTTGATCTAAATGTGAATTCATGTTCTAATATTCCTATGACCTTCCATGTCTGCCAAAGGAGGTTACTGTGTAACAGAGATACCCTTTAAATAAACTGGAAATTGCTTTAATTGTATGGAAAGATTTTAACACAGGTCTATCAGGGTGTTGAAAATAATAGTCTGTGTTCCGTGTATCAATCTTAAATTGAATGGTAACTTAAGGCCTGTCTTTAGTCTGGGTTCTTCCTGACCTCTATGGCTCTTCAGATACACTCCTCTTCCCAGGAGGTGGGGAAAGACCATCTAATGATTTATTGATCCATGACGAAAGGATTTGTTTCTGGACAATACTATTAAAAGAATAACAAACTTCACACTTCTTTAAGTTGAATGACATGTTATTCTAGACTTAAGGGATTCAATGCCATAGTTAAGGAAATCTCAGTTAAAACTTACAAAATCTATTTGGCCACATCGCCATCTTATGGTCAGTTTTGGAAAATGCTACCATAGCCCAATAAAATTGTGACTGGGCTGCTTTTAGCAAAAGGGTTCTTCACCCATTTTGTGCACTGATGAAACGTATTTATAAAGTGTTGTTATTCTGTGCCATATGTAACAAATACAGTGAAGATTTATTTTATGTACTGATTTTAATCTATTCTAAGATATTTCAAGAATGAATGATTAATTGCAAATAAAGTATACTAAAAACAGTGAGTCAATAGTTGTGTTTGCTCAAAGGAATTGCCTCAAAACTTCCAGATCTCCAAACTGAGGACAGTTGGAAAGTAAAGGCCTGGACTTCTGAATTCAGCCACATCACAAAGCTAGAACTCACTTCTTCAGTTTCAAGGTCATGAGTCAGTTTCCAGTTATACACAGAAGAGAGATGCTCTGTGTCTCATTGATGTCGTCAAGAGATAGAGGCATGCCTGCAGGTACACACAGGCACAGGTGCATTACCATACATGCACAAGCACACACACATTCTTTCACAGGGACCATAGTTAATCAAGGACATAGAGCATCATTAAATAGGTCAGAGAGTCGCCTGATTCATCTTTTTATCTTTAAGCATAGAGACAAGCAGGGCTTCATAAGTGCATGCCTATAACCCCAGCACTGAGGATGTGGAGGCCACCCTGAGCTACATGGTACACTGTTTCCAAAATAAAATTAAATAAAGAAGGTATAGAGATAATTACAAACAGGGATAACGGTCTTCTCCGGGTTGTTGTACCTCATGTGTTGAGCACCTAGCTACTGTATGCCAGCTGTTAAGCTGTTTTTGCTCATTTTACATAAATGGGCTCTTCACAATGATCCTAAAGGTAAGAATAGTCCTTTTGAAGGTGAGGACACTGATACTCAGTTAGTGACATGTCAAAAGTCACACAGCTAACAAGAAATGTGGCAGTTCAAGCCAGAGGCATATGATCCAAATCCATAAATGCTTCTCCCAACTTCATTCAAGTGGTGGAAAGAGTACCTTTCACAACCCGAACACTCCAGTGTCCATCTTGGCTTCTCCTATACACTTAGTTACGAACTTGAGTCATCCTTGTCACCATGCACCTCATTGTTGTGTCTCTAGAATGGACCTGCTGCGCCCTGCCTGGCTAAATGACAGAGATGGATTCATCATATCACAGCTGTAGCTGTCCATGATAACCTGCAACACACTGGAAATGTTAGAAATGGGTTTGTTTGCTTCAGTTTTTTTGTTTGTTTGTTTTCATTATTATAAAGCTAAAGATTCAATTTGGGTCTTACACTGCTAGGCAAGTATTCTGCCACCTAACTATGCACCAATGCCTAGCAAACCCAATTCAGCCACCCATCCTTGATAGATCAATTGGAAGAGCCAAATTAATGGTGAAAACAATAAAGAAGGATTTATTCAATGAGAGATGAAGAGATTTGGAAGGCAGAAGTTAGCTAAGCAGTCCTACCAAGGTGTGGTCCTGCCCAACATTTTCTCAGATCCCGAAGTTAGTTTCTCCTGCATCATCATCTAATAAGCTGTAAGTCTTTCCCCCAAAGACAAGTTTCTCTTCTGGCTGACAAAAGTTCCTTCTCTGGTTGTCCCCAGGGCATGGACATTTTCTTTTCCAACAAGAGATTCCTGAGAAATTCTATTTACTGAGGGATCCATTTGTTTCAATAGTCTGATAGGGAAAGACTAGGACACAAGTATGCCTTTTGAATGGATTTGTTCCTGCCAGGCAGGCCTCTATTTTAACAAGAGACTAAAGCGTATTGGCCTTGGGCAGAAACCAAAGGCAAACACTCTAGACACCAAGAAGAAAAACGAGAAAGAAATTTGAGGAACAGTAATGTTTTCTGGGTGTCTTGCAAATGATCTACAGAACAAATAGGTATTCTCTGATCTTCCATAATTCTTATAAATGTTTACAATTTAACATTAGGAAGGAAATCGAATTTCCTAAATGCATGTTGTATTCATATCTTTTCTTCTCCTACACCTATTGCCCCCAACTCTTTCTGGGCCTCCTGACTCCCTCTCAAAAGCATGACATCTCAATTTATTATTGAGATACATGCACACACACACACACACACACACACACACACACAAGACCAACGGGCTGAGTCCATACAGTGTTGTTCAACTGTATGACTATGTAAAAGGTTGACCTCTGGATAACCTTTCAGTGAGCTCATCCCTGGAGAAAATTGATTCTCCTCTCCCTCTTGGAGCAGCCATTTGCTTATAGTTCTCCTTCTAGAGGAGGCCCCTCTGAGATTTTCCCTGTCCACATAGTCATGTGAGCTGCTGTTGTCAATATGCAAGTCTTATTTAGCCA